AATTCGTTACTGCTACTGAATTGATAACATAAATTAGATTAATCGTTATACAGCACCTCGAGTAGGTAATAATGCAGATTAGTTTTACAAATCTAAAGAAAAAAATAGAATATTAATGTTTTTAAGTTGTTAGAGTAATCAATAAGTTGATGTAATACTTCACGAAAACAACGAGAGATGGCACTGTTACAAAGAATTGACGAAAGATTAAAAACCTCATAAGTTGAATTATGTTATGTATTTACGATGAGTTTAATCATAATACAATATTATGTTGCCTACCCTGTTCTAAAACCCTGTGCACGCCACTGGTGACGACTAATTGGCGACCCAGAGTCACACACCGTGACAAGAAAATATTGCCTATCGAACGGCCCTCACAAAAATGTCCCATACTCGTACTGGTGGGTTATTTTTAGTCTACAAAGACGTAAACGTTACTGTACTACTTGAATTGATTAACCACCTTTGTCGATAAGACAGATTTAAGAAACAACAATTTGGGATTCACGAAAATTGTTCAAAGCTTTTAGAACGCCATCAATTTCATTCTATGTTTTTATAATAACTATCGTGAGACATACTAAATTAAGTAAAAACGCGGGTTACTCACGTGAATATACTGAGAAAAGCTCTACTAGTTTCGAACCACAGAGGGGTTCTTCCTCATGAGCAGCGTGCGCGGTCGCGGCGACGTCACGCAGCTCACTGAAACTAGTAGAGTCGAAACTAGTAGAGTGGCGATGGTAGTGATTTAAAGTAGAATGAACTTTAAATCACTACCATCGTTTTCATATCGGCCATAATTAAACATAGGCCATGAACGGCTGGTGAACAGACGACCTGATAAATGTCGTAGGGAACCGCTGCCATACCTCTAAAGTTGACTTACAAAATATACCTACAGTTGGTAGTTGCAATCTCAACCGCCTGAACAAATAAGTTACAGCTAGGTTCTATAACTTCAGTGGTGTTGTAACGAACAATGTCCTCGCGTCTGATGTCACCAGTTTCTTACAAAATAGTTATGTTTTATCACAAAACTGTTTTGCCATATTTTCGACATGTTAAACTATTGATAAAGACCTTGTTTGGAAATTTTTACCGCCTAAGGCGTATTATTCACGGTAGTCAACGTTAGAATTATAAATTAATTGATTCATAAACGTGATATAGTTAGTTTGATATCTGATGATGACACTGATACTAAAAGTTCAATCGGAAAACCTTGGGGGATTGATCAACAACAAATAAACGAGATTCCAAAAATTTGTCGATATAAGAGAAATCTAAAACTTAAGCAATATTGTTAAAGCCCATTTTGGCAAAAATTGTATAAGGTTTCTTAATTTTATAATTCTTTATAATGCCGATAGCTCTTTGTATTGTCCAGTTTTTATTACGTTACGAATTACAACCTTGACCTCTCTATCTCAACAAACCTGGCGCATTGCCGCTAAAACTAAATTAATGCAGAAACACGAAGTAAATGTACTATTCCGTATGCAAAACAAGTTCAATAAAAAAGGCGGTTACTTTATAAACACGTCTCAATCATAAAAAGGAATTTGGTTGCTTAAATAAATTGTGTATTAGTGAGCCGTCAATGGCCGCACCCACCAAGCAATATTATAAACATATAGAAATTGCAAAACTTCACTCACGGTTTTGGATAGACAAGTCTTGTCTAATATAATTTTTATCGATACTGCAGTTATTTATTTCAATGCATAGTACAGTTATACGCCTTATTCGTTCAAAGTATAGTTTACAATATTTATAATTCAGATAATTCAATAGTTTCTTCTAAGTCATTTTTCTAAAAGTACGAATCGAATCTCCTCTATTTGTAAGTCGAACCATCGGACATAAAAGGGATTTGTCTTACGTTGTATTACTAGTACTCGTAAAACAGTTCATCAATTCCATCTAAATGTTTATTTATCTAAATAATCCTTGATTATCACATCGTGATTAGTTTCAACAAAAAACTGAACAACAGAAGGCCGTGCAAACTTCACGTCTAAGGTTAACACACAAATGCACCAATTTACAGTGTACATAACAAACATAATGTGCTAGATAAAATGTGTGAAGTAAAAATAACGTTACATGTAATGCTAATAATAATTCACGGTTACATGACTCAGCTGATTTAGGATCGAACTAGACTGAAGTAGCAAGTAGGATGTTTGGAGCCAAACGTTTGCTATGCGCGTCATAATAATGCAAGTATCGCGAAAATTGTACACGTTGAATCAGTGTGTAAAGCAAAGATTGCACGTAGCTGTGATTTCTTCCTAACCTGGTTAGGGATTCATTCGATAACGGGAGTTCTTGTATTGATACCAATTTTGGTAGTTTGTTGCACTTCCATCCTAGACTTATCGTATTTATAAATCCAACTGTTTAAGTTGTATCTAAGTTTTATTACAGTGCCGTGATTCATTAATGACCTGCTAATATTGGTTTTTAATTATAATATAAAATAGGAGCGTTTTCCCAAAATTATGTTTGTATTTTCTGTGAATGTCAACTGGTGCATAATCTATCCGTCTATACACGGAACAAAATTCCAGATTCGGTGATATTATTACCTACCAATCATAAAGATTGAACGACGATTAGTTTTTTCGTTCGATTTATTTATTTGGTGTTCTCCTTTTGTTGGTTGCAATTCAAACGGCATTAATATAATCGTAGCGAGACGTCATCCCGCATTTTTTTCGTGTTATGTTAAAGGTGAATCTACATTTCCAGTTTGTTAAAACCGTTGTCCGACAGTTTCGGTGCGGCCGATGTATTTTTTGCGACCGCTTTCTCTCATGCTTTCACCATGACCACCAATGAATCGTCATTTTGGTTATTATTCAATGTTATATGTTCGACCAGAGCTTTTGCGTTTTTGATCTCTCGTGATTGTGCATCGTGATAACGGTTCAGAGCGATTGTAATTCTTATTGATGTGAATATAAATTTGTAATTAATAACAAACTGCTGCATGCTATTTTTAATACCGTAAAATTTTATTGCATTGAACCCTTTCTATCGTAATTATTTTATTAATTTAGCTACGATTCATGGAGACGAATAAACTATGATCATCATAGATATCTGTTCATTAGAAAAATATGCTAGACGCGAATACGCTAGAGGAATACTGATACATTGTCCAGTCCATACATTGACATCGTTAATTCTTATATTAAATGAAAGGTTCAAACATTTTCTCTTTCTTACAACATTTCCTAGTTTTTCTTGAACACTCATGGATTATAAATTTTATTACCTTACAACTTTCATCTTCTACGACAAAAAGACAAGTGTAATATGTACATCTCCGTACATACATAGACAGTATTAAACTTCAATTCAAACGACTCGCATTCAAATCAAGTTTCATTCCGTTTCGTCTAAAAATGTCAAAACATTTCTCAAGCCGAAGTTATAAAGTATTTCGATACTAAGTCGGTATCGCAATTCCTTGCAAGATCATCGCAGATCGATCGTGGTCCGTGGAGTATCTGAGACCGGGCGGCCTTCTCGGGAATGTTTCCCAACCGCAAGCGCACGCGTTGACGTGCCCAGCGGAAGGACGTACTACCTTACACCATACTTATGCGTTAAATGTTAGAAAATACAGCTAATAATAGTTATAAAGGACTCATAAACATTTTCACTCATTACTATTTCCCTTCCATTATCTGTTTTGATTTAAGCATCCGCATCACCAATCAATTCAAATGTAAAAGTAAAATCACGATTAAATAATTAAAAATCACTTTTTGTAACAAAATCATTAATCATTACGTGTTCTGACAGCCTCAGTATGTTCGCTGTATCAACAAAACCGTTACCTTAGTTAATTCCAATGTTCATATGAGTGTAACTATATTATGCAACACTTGTATCTTCGTTGCCGGCCGACACACAAAATCTTTTAGAAATTAGGTAATTAGTTCACTGTTCACATGCATTCTCTGCTCGAAATTTGATATAATCTGACTTAGCGTCTTTCCGAAATATGCAATGTAATCGTTTTGGTTTTTTGTCGATTCTGTTTTTAAGAAAGAGTGATTTGAATTCAATGACAACTGTCTTAGGAATTTTTTAAATGTTTTCTGATTTCACGAAATAATAAGCACTATTTCTAAAAAAACACTGAGACTGGTATAGTCTAAATAGGTCACGCGCCGTGGTATTTGTAAACAATGGGTGACGGTTACCTCATTACTCGGTATTGAGAGATAAACGCAATTGTCTTTATAATTCACCATCAGCCAGACCCAATTATCTCCCAAGCAATTCTACTCATAATGAAGGACGATTGTCTGCAAGTGATAAGAACGAATGTTTAAAAAACTCGAAGGTTTTGGATTCATCTTCGATGACTGTACTCAAACTGATAGGAGTTTCAAAAATTATGATTGTGGTATTTTTATTCCCCAAGTCATTGAGTCCAGTAATAGAGCTTATACTGTTAAGTTTGAATGATAGATTTGAATACATTGTGCATCAAATTCACTTAATTGATTATGTTGTAAACTTTTTATGTGATTTATTTTTACGTTATTTTTATGCGTTCTGCCATTTAACTTTTTATTTGCCGTTTTTTGAGATAATGCACATCTATTATGTGTTATTTGTGGATTAAAACTGCAATAGATATGACGGATTTTCTTGTAGAGTTTATTTTATTGTAAATTTGTTTATAATAATTTGATTGGCAATAAAATACGAAAACTTTGACCACGTTCGTTAAACTGAACTTTATAGGAATAATCCTTGGGTTTGGTCTCCAAAACAAACTTTTGTCAGTCGGTAACCTAACCTTTATTTCATAAACAAGATCTAAGAGATAGGTTTGATGAAATCATGTCTACACGAGACCACATAGAGGCAGGATCGCCTTGAAATACTTTCAAACCTCGTGAACTATGCGAAAACGTTTACCTAATAGAATCAACATTTAATTAACCCTAAATGACAACAAAACTTACCGATGCCCAGGTGAATAGAGTTACACCTGATCAGCTGATCACATACACTAGCACTGTAGAAACTGTGTTTAGGAATGGTTGTATGGAATATGAACAGGTGGTTAGGCTATGTCGGAGTAACTGCCGCGGCGGCTGTAATGTTTTTGGTGTGCCGTCGGCGTCGGCCTGTGGCGGCGCGCGACGCTGCTGATCGACTGGCGGAGTGAGACTGGCGGCTGGCTGCGCGCGCACGTCGACCCTCAAACCCTGCAGATGACCTTCACACCGCGTCATGGGGTGACTTCCCATCAACACAGTAAACAAACTGTTTTTACTCGACTCACCTCTTATTGTCGTTCCGCGAAACTTTGACTTATTTTTTGTTTGTTAAGTTTTTCTGCATTATTGAGATTGAGACATAGGGTACTTATTAAGTATTCTCCGCATTTTCCGGTTTTTGAACCAAAGGTTATGTAAGGGGACAAAAACAATATACTAATATACCTCTGAAATAAGATATATTTTTGCTTTAATTTTGAATAGATATTACACATTTACACATTTACATTACACTAGATTACACTTTTCTGATATTTGCAAATAATATTCGTAATCTTGGAAATAGTTTTTGTATTTTCAAAACCGCCCATAGTACCTATTAATATATAAGGTGTTAATAAATTCGCTCTAAATATTTTATGAGGTTGGTGGGAATCAATAAACTGACACGTTTAGCAAAAAAAAATTAACAATTTTAACAACTTTTATTTTTAACAAAAATAAAGGAGTTGGTTAAAGTTTTTGTGCAAACCGTACGTGGGGCTGCGCTTGCGGCCCGAGCGAAGCAATGGCGCGCCGTCACCGTCCCCATGTTATCGCAATCTCTCTCTCTTTCTCCCTCTCTCCCGTTCGCTAGTTGCCCCGCTCTCTTTCCCACTTCTCTCT